TGCAATGATTTTTTGAGATCATCAATCTCCTCTAGATCATTTCCTGTCACCACTATATCATCCACATACACAATCAGAATTGACACCAAAGCATCTCTCCTCTTCACAAAGAGGGTGTGATCAGACTGTGTCTGTGTGTATCCAAAATGGATGAGTGCCCCTCTAAACCTATCAAACCAAGCCCTAAGTGTCTGTTTCAGTCCAAACAGAGATATTCTAAGTCTGCACACCTTTCCTTTACCGACATTTTCATAAAAGTCTACTGGAATGTCCATATATACCTCCTCCTATAAATCACCATTGAGGAAAGCATTTTTGACATCAAGCTGGAACAAGGGCCATGAATAGGTGGCTACTAGAGATAAAAGAATACGAACTGAACTCATCTCAGCTATTGGTGCAAAGGTTTCTAGATAATCAACACCATAGGTCTGAGTATACTCTTTTGCTACCAACCTTACCTTGTACCTCTCTATCTTGCCATCGGCCTTAAACTTCATTGTAAATACCCATCGACATCCGACTATCTCCTTGTCTGGGGGGAGATCAACTATTTCCCAAGTTTGGTTTTTGACCAAAGCATACATCTCATCTTGCATGGTTGTTTTTCACTCAGGTTTGGAGAGAGCCTCAGTAACATTCCTAGGTATAAACACAGAATCCAGGAAAGAAAGAAAAGCACGGTAGGAGGGTGATAAGGCACTGTAGGAAAGATGGTGTGAAATGCAGTGGATTGTACACTTTCTCTTCCCCTTACGAAGTGCAATGGGAAGATCAAGGTCAGTGGGATCAGCTGCAACAATGGTGTTAGGGACAAAAACATTATCATCAGAAAACATAACAGGCTCAAGAGGAATACCTGGAACTGTATCTGCTGAATCTAGAGTTTCAGAAGGACTGATAGAGAGTGGTGTGGGTCGAGGATGTGTGGAGTCAACCATCATCTGTCGGCGCTGATATTGCTGTGAGGCTGCTCGTAGTGGCTCAAGTAATGAAACTGGAGGTGCAGGTGCTGGCTGAACTAATGGTGTAGGTGGTGGCTAAACTGATGGAGGCACCACAGAAATAGGAAGAGGAACAGATTGAGTTCCCCTCCCCAAAACTCCCCCCCTGAGGAGAACCACTCAAGAAGAAGAATGTGGATTCAAAAAAGGTAACATCCATAGTGACAAATCTGCTCATCGACACTGGGTCATAACAGCAATACCCCTTTTGGTTCTGAGCATACCCAAGAAAAACACATTTCTTGGCCTTAGGATCCAATTTCTTGSGATGAGGGCCAAGAATGTGAACAAAAGAAACACAGTCAAAAACCCTCAAAGGTATATGAAATATCTCTCTATTTAGAAAAATGAGGCTAAATGGCACCTTAAACCCCAAAGTCCGTGAAGGAACACGGTTAATCACATGTACGGCTATAAGAACTGCATCTCCCCAAAACTGCATAGGAATTGAAGCACACACCATAAGACTCCTTGCCACCTCCACAATGTGTCTGTTTTTCATATCAGCAACTCCATTCTGTTGCGGTGTATATGCACAACAGCTCTGATGAACTACACCATGTTCTAAGAGATATGTGGTTAGGTCCTTCTCAAAGTACTCTCTGGCATTATTTGATCTAAAAACCTTAGTTCTCACTCCAAATTGTGTGATAACCATCTCGTAGAATTGTCATACTAAGTTAAGAACATCATGTGATCTCATCAAATATATCCAAGAATATCATGTATAATCATCTACAAACAAGAGAAAGTAACGGAATTCTCTCATGGAAGGGATTTAATATGGCCCCCATACATCAGTGTGAATAATATTAAAAGCAGAAGTATTTCTTTTATTACTTGATTTAAAAGACTGTCTATAATGCTTTCTTAATTGACAACTCTTACACTCCAAAGTAGATAATTGAACAAACTTAAACAATTTTGGGAAAAGACATTTCAAAGAACTAAAAGAAAGATGTCCCAAGCAATGTCTTTTCCCACTGCTGCTAACATGATGGCCCTGATGTCCCAAGCAATTGATTCCAAACCTCTCCAATTCTGTTCTCACTGTTGCTACTACAATGGATTCCCAATCAGTTCGGGAGAGAGGGGCTGAAGAGTCTCTTGTAGATGCTTAGGCTTCTTGCAATAATCACACACCAAGTCCTTATCTTCCCTTCTAGTCTCACTACTCCCCCTATCTCCATTTGGCTTAGGTTTTGTTGTACCAACCATAGCCAACTGGTCAATCCCAGGCTGTCTCAGCATTACATTCCTCCTACTCTCCTCTCTAGAGACAAAAACATAGGCCTGAGAGAGTGTCACACCCTCCCTAGAAAGAATCTTCTACCTAGCAATGTCAAATTCAGGGTTCAGCCCTGCCAAGAACTCAAAAACCCTATTCCTCTTTACCAGTTTATGATAAGTTGTTGCATCATTTACACTTCCCCATACCATAGTTTCTAAGTGATCTATTTCCTGTCATAAGGTTTTCAGCATGGAGAAATACACAGCAAGAGGTTTTTCTCCCTGTTTCATACTTATCACCTGATTTCTTAACWGATAGGYYCTGGCTTCWTTTTGCTTCTAAGAGTAGGTTTCAGTCACTCCATCCCAAATCTCCTTAGCAGTATTAGCCCATAGAAATTTTTTTGAAATATGAGGTAACATAGAATTACACAGCCAAGACATTACCATGTAATTCTCTTAGACCCATCGGGAAGAGTCTGCATCAGGTTTCTTCTCTTCCCCAATGAGATACCCTAATTTTCCACGGGCACCAATAGCCATCTTAGCTAATTGTGCCCACTCCAAATAATTTGTACCATCAAGTTTTACTGTAGTAATGATCATAGACCCAAAAATATCACTACTACCTCAAACATACAGTCCCACAATACCAGTAGATTTCATCTCAGTATTCCAACTCTCCATTTTACTTCAAACAGTTCAACAGTAAGAAAAAAAATAGATTGGAGACCTTCAAAAAATAATTTAATACCACACACATAGAAACCAACCCTTCCAGAAGAAGAAAACCCTAGCTGGAGGGAAATCTCTCTCCTCCCCAGGCCTCCCAATAGAGAGAAAAGTGAATCGATCACTCCGGGAGGCCTAGAAAATTTCAAAAACCAAACCGCCATCTTCAAAAAATCAAAAGAAAGCTAACAATACCTAGGCGCCCAAGATCAGATAAAAAACAAAGAATCCAACTTTTCTGGAGATGTAAATCAGTCCTTAAATATCAAGAACAAATTTAGGGATTAGAAGAAGTAAAGAAAAGGTCTGAACAACTATACAAGAGAAGAAGATGGTGAAAAGAGGAGGTAAGAGGAGTCAAAATTAATCTCCATTCTCCTTTAACCCTATTTTATTAAGATCTAAAAATTAGACGATGACAAGAATGCCCTTAAGTGGGCGGCCAGCTTGGCAGTTACATAAAGAGAATAAAACAAGAATAAATAACAGGCCCATTAAGTGTGGCTCATCAACAATAAAATAAAAGATATTACAAGAGAGGACGTTAGGGCCCATTCGGCCTAGTCTCTTTACACTCCCCCTTAAGCTGAGCATAGATGTCAATCATGCCCAGCTT